TCGGAGTGTATCTTAGGAAAGTAGAAACTACTTGTACCTTAAAGCACTGCATCTTCGACGGGGAGTGGGGCGGAGGGGAGAGAGAGGCAGACAGACAGACAGAGAAACAGCGAAAGAGAGAGAAAGGGAGAGAGAGAGAGAGAGAGGAGAGGGGGGAGGGGAGAGGAAGAGAGAGAGGCAAAGAAAGGAGAGAGGGAGAGAGTGAGGGAGAGAGAGACAGAGGGAAAGAAAGAGGGTGTGTGTGTGTGTGTGTGTGTGTGTGTGTGTGTGTGTATGTGTGTGTGTGTGTGTGTGTTCAGGGCTAAGGCTCTTGCCTTGCATGTGGCTGACTGGCTTGGAAACCCGTCATTGCTTATTGACCCCATAGGGACCCCTGAGCACTGCAGGATGCCTATGCCTGTAGGGAGTCAGGGAATGGGACCAGGTTAACTGTGTAAACACAAAAAGACAGCAGCGGTCTATCTCTCCCGCTGCCCGTGTTTGGTAGTCTCACACCGGTTCCCCCACCCCGGGGAGGTCGATGGCGATGGGCAGGCGAAGGAAGGAACGAGGGCCAGGCTGGTTGGTCTTAGTTGAAGTTCATTCCATTCCCATCTCCATTCTCCTCTGATTCTCCTCCTGCTTCTTCCTCCCCCCATGCTACTTCATTCTCCAACTCGATCCCCCTTCATCCTCCTTCTCGCTCTGGAATCTGGATCTGGGTCCCCTTTCTCCCCCTTCTGGAGTCTGGATCCTGATCCCCCAGCCCACTCTTACAGTCTAGTTATATCCCCCAGCATGAGGGGTTGGGGTAACAATTACACATAGGTGTGGTCACAATCAATAGGGGTGGAGTTCTTTCCCTCAGTGGGTACTTCTTCTAGGCCAGATACTCTCTCAGCAGGACGACCCACCCTAGAGTGGAATCCCATGGGTGTGTTTCTCCTCTCCTTGTCCAACAAACATATAAACATTCATAATATAAATCATTTTGTATGGACACAGTAAGAAATACATGAAGCTTATAGAATTGCTCTCCTAGGGCCATCTTGATCTCAGACTACAGTGCTCAGGCCAGATAGTCTTTCCTCTCCCTAGCAGGGTCCTAGTCTCGTCGTTACTTTTGGATCATGACAGCACTTGTCCATGATCAAACTCTAACTTATAGTTAAGAATCATGGCACTTTGGCCTGGCCCATCTCGATGCCAGGGTAGCTCACCGCTTGCCCTGGGTCCATTCAGTCCCTCGTCGGGACCCTGCTTTTGGGCCATTACAAACTAAGAGCAACTGAGGCTTAAGTCGAGAAAGCAGACGCCCGGGAGTGAATAATATTCAAAGCCAATTAAATCCTAAATTACAAAGCATAATATTAACTGTCTTCCTGTATCTATACAAAAAGGACATTGCTTTAAAGTAAACTATTCAAAAGATATAAGGAGAGGAAAAAGGCAATATTAATTTACAAGTTCAGTGTCCTAGAAGAATCTGACCTTACAAATAATTAACAGATTCTGATTAGGGGAAAAGCTGAAACTGTTTGGGGAGGAGAGCATAGGGAAGAGTTTACAGATAAACACAACGGAATGGAATGTGTCTCAGGAGCTCTGTAAAAAACCTGAGTTCCTTGTGGCAAGGGAGGAAGGAGAAACCAGTGTCATCCTACAGGCAATACTGGGACATGGTGGAGGGGCAGGAGGTAGAGCGTTTGCCTTGCACACGGCCGACCTGGCTGACCCAGGTTCGATTCTTCCGCCCCCTCGGAGAGCGCGGCAAGCTACCGAGAGTATCTCGCCCGTATGGCAAAGCCTGGCAAGCTCCCCGTGGTGTATTTGATAAGCCAAACACAGTAACAAGTCTCACAATGGAGACGTTACTGGGCCTGCTCGAGCAAATCGATGAACAACGGGAGTGACAATGACAGTGACAGTAACGAGCCCTGCCATTATCCATATTGTAGATCAGTATTGTAAATTTGCTTTCCCAAAAGGCAAACAAAGAGAGACGCACAACACAGCTACAAACATTCTACAAATGCTACAAGAGCCGCCAGGGTCTTCTTCATTGATGTCCGGTTAAACCCTCTTTGGATTTTCTTTGCAAGTATGGCAGAAAACGGCTAGTTTCATACTAATTTTTCTGGATTCAACAGTTAAAGCAGGGGTGACTCCAAAAACTTGAAGGGCTAGTGTCGTAAAGAGGTCCGCTCTCATACTTGGCTTCTTTTATTTATTTATTTATTTATTTATTTTGCTATTCTTAGGTTGTTTATTTCTTTTTGTTGTTGTTGACCCAAGTTTCCATTTATTTTTTTAAAATTTTTTTTCTTAAATTTTTATTAGTGAAACACCATGAGGTACAGTTGTAGACTTACAAATTTTTGTGCTTGGGTTTCAGTTATACAATGATCGAATACAAAATACTTGGCTTCTTTAACATAGAGAAACCCACAATAAAAGAGATTTTAAGCATTTAGCGGAGGAGCTAAAGCATGGTTAAGTCTTCGCTGAAATCCCCTTCCCATGAGAAAGAAAAGTGTGTCTGTGTGTTTTGCTTGGTGGGATTTGGGAGACGCCGATTCTTGGTGTCTCCTTGGGCAGACTCTCCATGGTGCTTGTCTTTGTATTTTATGTATTTGTCTATTTCTTTTCATTTTTTTTTAAATTTTACACACTGTGATTTGCAACATGGTTGATGGCAGGGTTCATGCAGAAAATATTCCAACCATAGCCCGGCCCCAGAGTATCAGCCTTGCCCTCCACCAGGCTCAGAGTCACTCCCATTCTATCCCCGACCTTCTTCAGTCATAGGCATGTGTTTCTTTTCTGCCTTTACCGCCAGAGTTTAAGTTTCCCGTGGGTTGGAGAGAGGGTCAAGGGGTAAAGGTGCTTCCTTGCCTGGGTCTGACCCTGCTTCCATCCCTGGAGCCGTGCCAGGAGTCATCCCTGAGCTCAGAGCCACAGGGAAGCTCTGGAGCACAGCCGGGATTGGGGACTTAGGTCTCACCTTGAGGGACTCTAGTTCCTGGCCAGGGACCGGCTCAGTGAAAAGATTTTTCACCATCTCTGCCTGCAGGGGTGTGACATGGTTGTTTCGCAGTGCTCCTTTCACCCCAGAATATTCATCCTCACGATCAAGATCACGATCATCCTGTTGTTTGTCGATTGCCTCGATCAGGCCCCAGTAACGTCTCCTTCATCCTAGCCATGAGATTTTTTTAAAAAGTGTGATATTCAAGGCTCTTTCAGGGTTAGGAGAATGAGACCCATCATTGTTACTGGCATTTGGCATATTGGGTATGCCACGGGGAGTTTGCCAGACTCTGCCATGTGGGCAGGTTACATTCGGTAGCCTGCCAGGTTGTCCAAAGCAAGAATGAGATAATAAGATAATAAGATGGGAAGCTGGGTTTTATAGTCTCTGGGTCTTGGCCGTTGATGGGATTACATGGCGCCAGGGGCCCAGTTGCTGGCTGTCACCCTTGCCTACTGGAAGATGGAGGATCTGGGTGGAGGATGCTCAGCTCCGATCCGAACAGGCTTGGAGATCTCAGCCCCGGAACCCGCATGCCTTTGTTCCTCTGCCGGTACCTTCATGCGTGTGGAGAGTGGTCTCAGCATGGTTGTGACTTCCTCAGTCCTTTCAAATTCCGACTTGTACGGAAGAGTTCTTACTAGGTGAATCCGTTTCCGTTCCCCACGCATCCAGGGAGTTGCATTTTGTCTTTTACCCTCGGAAGATAGGGCAGTTGGTGTCTTCCAAGACCGTCCTTTTGTTTCCGCTGATGCACAGTGGACATCTGGCCTGGCCCGCAGTGAGCAGGACTGCTTTGGGGACCCGCTTCGGTTTGGTGTCAGAGTCTGAGGGTATGAGGTCTCTTCAGGGCATTTCTGACATGGGATTGTTTGGAGAGGGCTGGGTCTGGCTGGGGCACACGCGTGGGGACAACAGATATGCCCCGTGAGCTGGGCTGCTTACCCAGGAGCTGCCCGGGAGACCCTGGCAGAGGGAGGGACAATTGCGTCCCAGCAGCCGATGTTGCCTTTATAAGATTGTGAGTTCGGGTGGGGGGGAGGTTGGGGGATGCCGGTCTGTTGGGTGAAGGGGCCCCAGAATGAGGCAGGGCAGTGAGGGGCATCGTCCTCAGGGGGACAGGTCCGTGCACAGGGACTGGCCTGGAAAAGGATTCTGAAGTTCCTGGTTGGGGAGACCTTTGGGTGGTCAGGGGCAGTCAGAGGCACCACTGGAGACAGACGAAGGCAAGGTGACCTCCTGGAGTCAACCTTTTACTCATATTGTGGCAAGTGTTTCTGTTCCCGAGAGCCCTCAAGACCCCTCTCTGGGGAACGTTTCTTGATTCTGAATATAATCCGGCTCGGGATTCTGAGGGTTTTTGCAGGACTGCTGAGGAGAAAACCAAGCCAGTGTTTCCACATGGTGCCAACTCTGGGGCTCTCTGAGCAGTGGTGAATGGTAGCATGTGGGATGAAAAGGAGCCGCATGGGGTGACCGTTCCCAGACCAGAAGTGGGGGGGAGCGTCAGATCCCACACTCCAAAGGAAAAAAAACACGAAGCTGAAGGATTTAAGTGTGGAGCGAGGGTTAGAAATTTAGGTCTGCCTTCCTTCATTCAGAGAGAATCAGAAATTCATCTCGTCCTTCCCACGTTTCTGGACTCCTCATCCCACTTTTCGTGTTTCTAGAATATTCCTTTCCCCAGCTTCGCCCTAAAGTTGTTTATAAGTTCCACGTCCTCCCCCGCCCCATGCAACTGCCCCTGTGCTGAGCTGGAGGTTCTGACAGACCCTCTCCCTCTGTCACCGTGGAACTGTCACTGAGAGACGGTTCGGGGACATTCGTCTCATTTGGCAAGCCTTGTTGTGGCCGGCAAATGCTTGACCTAAGACAGATTGTGGGGCAGCGGGAAAGAGGTCAGTCAGAGAAGGGGTTCACTGTGTCAGCTGGGTGGGGCGGGCGGGGGTCCTGTGATAACCGTGTCCTCCCCACCCGTAGGTACCCCGAGCCTCCACAGCCCCCTGCTGGACCTTGAAGGTGACATGCGCCCCGGTTCCTCCGTGCTGAGCCACCTGAGCCAGACGGCGTCTCTCAAGAGGGGGAGCAGCTTCCAGTCCGGCCGCGACGACAGTGAGTGTCACACCTCCTCCCCCACCCCCAGCCTTCCAGTGGGACGTGCGGCCACGTGGAACACTCTGGAAACTTCCATGCTCCGTGGGGTGAGCGGCGGCTGAGGAGTACACACTGACCTTTCTTCTGCCCAGACACCTGAGCCGTGAACCCCAGACGCCTACCGGGTGTTAAGTGAACAAACAGAACATGTCCCCCAGGGGCACCCCCAGGGGGCAGTGTTGTCCATGGTGGAGAGGACTTGGATTCAGGGAAAAGATTCAGTTATCATTTTTTTTTGTATTTTTTTTTTTATTGAATCACTGTGAGATTCAGTTACAGACTTACAGACTTTCACAATTAAGTTTCAGTCATACAATGATCGAGCACCTGTCCCTCCACCAGTGCCCATTCTCCACCACCAATGTCTCCAGTGTCCCTCCTGCCACCACCCCCACCACTCCCCACCCCCCACCTCTGTGGCAGGCACCTTCCCTCTTTCTCTGTCCTCTGGGGTGTTACAGTTTGCAATACAGGTTCCAGTATCGCTTTTCAGTCACAATGTTGAGAATCTGGACGAAACAGATGTAGAGCTCTCATTACACGGGTACATACATACATACATGCACATGTATTTATGCATATAGGTGCCAAGTAAAACATAAGCCTAAGAACCATTCTCTGTCCGTGGACAGGAAGTGGCAGGAACACATCTGGGTCCCCTTTCTTTTTTGGGGGGGTCACACCCAGCAATGCTCAGGAGTTACTCCTGGCGGTACTTGGGGGACCCTATGGGATGCTGGGGATTGAACCCAGGTAGGTCGCTTGCAGGGCAAACACCCTCCCCATTGTACTATCAACTCCGGCCCCACGTCTGGGTCCCTGAACCCCAGCGAGTCCCCACACCTCAAGTCATTGCAGAATCCAGCGTAATCTGCCGCCGTGTGACATACTGGCTCTGTCAGCATCCACTTCACAGGGAGCTCAGTCTGTCCGGGTTAATCTGCCAGGAAGGCATTCAGAAGAAGGAGTCTCAGGGGAAGCCTTTCAGAACAGCCTTGGTTTGTTATGCTGTTATTTATCGTTGCCCAAATACGTCCACCAGAAAGCCAGTTCAGCTCGAGTACGGGTTGATTCACGGATTGAACAAGAACTAATCCGCATTTATCTTGTGATTGCAAATAAGCTTTTAAACATAAGGAATTCTATTCACAGACTTAGCATAAATCACTGCACTGGGGGGCTTGTTGTCTAGTTTTTAATAGAGGCTTTGATTCTTTTTTTTTTCTTAATTTTGTTTTCCTGCGGGACGGGGTCGTTATTCATTACACGATTCTACCGGAATGGGTTCCTTTATGGTACCTCGGCTTTTGGCTGCAGGGCTGGAGCGATAGCACAGCGGTAGGGCGTTCGCCTTACAAGTGGCCAACATGGCCGATCCGAGTTCGATTCCTCCGCCCCTCTCGGAGAGCCCGGCAAGCTACCGAGAGTATCTTGCCCACATGGCAGAGCCTGGCAAGCTACCTGTGACGTATTCGAGATGCCAAACACAGTAACAACAAGTCTCATGATGGAGACGTTACTGGGCCCCGCTCGTGGGACCCAGAGTGGCATTTCTGGGGGTGTTGCTCTCACTTCCAATGTAGTTACTGGCTGAGGGCACGGAGGGTGCACATCCTGAAGAGAGAAGAGCGTCCTGAAGGTACATCCGAAAGTCACAGCTTGTTGCCTCCAGGACCTCCTTGCCCAGGGGCTGGACCACCCCGGGCAGCTTCCGACATCTCTAGCTCCATTGCATGCCCGGATGGTGGGGCGTCAGCAGGCTAAAACTCCGCCACCCACGAGGGGCTCTTTGGAGATGGGGGAGGCAGGGGTAGACTCCGCCCTGTGCTCTGCAGTCCAAAGTGCCAACTGAGTATCTTTTTCCACCCCCAACCCTCCCCGCAGCGTGGCGGTACAAGACTCCCCATCGGGTCGCGTTCGTCGAAAAATTGACCAAGCTTGTCTTGAGCCAGCTGCCCAGCTTCTGGAAGCTTTGGATCTCCTACGTGAATGGGAGCCTTTTCAGCGAGGTACGTGGGGGTCCCGGGCCGAGCGCTTTGCAGCTCGCGGGGTGTCTGCCGAGTTGCGATGTTTGAGATGACTCGCTCGCAGCCACGGAGGCCCAGCCCCGGGAGGGGGGGGAGGTTGGCCGTGTGTTCTAAGGTCGGTTGAAAGTGTTAGAAAGGGCCTGACAGGGGTCACAGCTGTGTGACTCAGAGCAAGTCACTCAGTGATTCTGGAGCGCCGTTTTCTCGCCTTGAAAGAGAGAGTGGTCAGCTCGTAGGTATTGTGATACCCACCTCAAAATGCGCTCGCGAGGACTAAAGGGGGTAGCCAGTTAAAGGGGAAAGAAAAATGGAAATGTTTTGGCAAGCATTTTAGACTGAATATGATTTGCCAGACCGGCCGATGATGGATGCGATTCTCGTGCGGCAGGCACATGAGGGCATCTCATGCCACCGGGATAAGATGCTGGTTGCTTGCACCCAGGTTTGAACCAACCCACAGAATTACGGACTGTCCTGGCCGGGAAGGAGGGCAAGTATCTCGGGGCTAGAGTTATAGCACAGTGGGGAGGGTGTTTGCCCTGTACACGACCCAGGTTCGATTCCCAGCGTCCTATATGGTCCCTTGAGCACCGCCAAGAGTGTTTCCTGAGTGCAGAGTCAGGAGTAGCCCCTGAGCATCGCCAGGTATGACCCAAAAAGACAAATTAAAAAAAAAAGTGGGGGTGGGGGGAAGCGCCTGTTGTCTGCACAGAGGGTTTTTAGCATCGCGTTTCTCAACAGCCGCTACGTTACTTGAATCACAGTCATAGACCCGCTCGGACTTGTGTGTACGATGCCCGGAACTCACCACACTCCCTGTGGTCACTCACTGTGGTCACTCCCTGTGGTGACTCCCTGTGGTCACTCACCACACTTCATGTGCCCCAGGAGTGGCCCCAAGTCGTGGGCAGGAGACTCTTTGGTCCCATGCTCCGGCTTCAGGGAGACCTCGCGTGTGGCGGGGAAGACGGCTGTGGTTTGGGGGTCCCCCCAGAGCCGGGGACGGCGGGGTCTTCTCCAAGAGAGGCGCTGTCTGGGTGATTGTATATACACAAGAGGCAGGGACGTGGGCTAGTCTGGGGTTGGCCCCTGGCTTCTCTCTGTCCAACAGTGCTCGCCCTCAGGGGAAGTGGAGGCCCAGGAGGCGTCGGGTTCGGCCAGGGCTCGGCTGGTGAAGGCATACTTGTGTTCCAGACCCAGAGGTGGTCGCTGGAGTGTCAGCACCCACACCCTGTGCAGATTTCTGTTCTTCCCCTGCTTGCTGTCTTCTCTTTATTTATTTATTATTCTTTTCTTTTTTTTTATTAGTGAAACACCATGAGATACAGCTGTTGACATTACAAGTTTTTGTGCTTGAGTTTCAGTTAGACAATGATCGAGTACCCATCCCTCCACCAGTGCCCATTCTCCACTACCACGGATCCCAGTATCCCTCCCACCCCCATCCCCCCATCCCACCCTGCCTCTGTGGCAGGGCATTCCCTTTTGTTCTCTCTCTCTTATTGGGTGTTGTGGTTTGCAAAAGAGGCAATGGGTGGCAATCATGTTTGGTCTCTAGTCTACTTTCAGCATGCATTTCCCATCCTGGGCGGATCTTCCCAACACCCTTTATTTGGTGCTCCCTTCTCTATCTGATCTCTTTATTTTTTTTTTAATTAAAAATATTTTTTTTCTGGTAAGCAACACTTACAAAGCTTTCATGTTTGAGTTACACTCACACAGTGATCAAACACCCATCCCTCCACCAGTGCACATTCCCCACCACCAAAGTCCCCAGTATCCCCCACCCGGTTCGAACCCTCCCCCTACCTCCATGGCAGACAGTTTCCTCCATACTCTCTCTCTCTCCTTTTGAGCATTATGGTTTGCAATACAGACACTGAGAGGCCATCATGTTTGGTCCTTCATCTATTTTCCTGCTGTCTTTTCTTGCCCCTCATAGACTCCTGGGTACTCGCTTCTATGAGTAGTGGGGTCTTCTGGCTCACTTATTGCACGAAACACAAGAACATAATCGTGCATAAAGAAAAAAAAACAAGCGTAAGTGTAGAGCACGTGCCCGGCAGATGTGAAGCCCCGGTGCGATTCCCAGGACACAGCCCCAACCATGGGTGCCTCTGGGTGTCACACTGGTGTCTCTGGGCACTGCAGGGCTGAAGCAACACTGATCTGTCAGCCTGGGTGCCCAGACATGGCAGACAGTAGTCCTGGAACCCCCAAGCTACTACTGGGAGCAGACTATTTATTTATTTTTATTTATTTAATTTTTAGCTTTTTGGGTCACACCCAGCGATGCACAGGGGTTACTCCTGGCTCGTGCACTCAGGAATCACTCCTGGCAATGCTCAGTGGACCATAGGGGATGCTGGGAATCGAACCCGGCTTGGCCGCATGCAAGGCAAACACCCTACCCGCTGTGCTATCACTCCAGCCCCATGGGAGCGGGCCCTTTAAAGGGAAACTGAGTCCCAGCTGATTGAGAGCAAGTCCCGAGTGCCCACAGCCCTGTCCACCGCGAGCTCTCCGGGCGTTTTCTTTGCTGCGTACCCCTGGGCAGAGCTGGAGAGGGGGGTTAGCTCCCGAGCCTTTCCGGTGCCTCCCAAGCTCTCGCCGTGTTCAGGAGTGCATGCCACAGCCTTTCCTGTCTGCTTTTGGGGCTCCTTGGCAGTGCCAAAGCTACTGAAAAGCGAGCTCGTGGAGCAACTCAGATGCCCGCCAGAGAAAGGTGGAGTCTGGCCCGCCTCCACCTTGCAGCCTGGGAGAGAAACTCAGTCTCCCAGCACTACTGCTCGCCTGTTCTCCAGGTCCACCCAGGCATGCAGTTTCATCCCGGCCAGCGGGGGGCACTGTGTGTGCCTGGCCGAGCCACCAACAGGCTGGTTTTTTGGTGCCATCGCAGCCTGGGTGATCTCCTGCCACTTCCTCTTCTGCTGGGGGACCGGGAAGGTCTGAGGCTCCTCCCGTGCCAGGGTTCTGAGCTCACAGGTCTGTCTCCCAGAGCCAGTCTGGCGCTAGGAGCGACTTTCCCGGTCACCTTAGATGCAGTGCCTTAGATGCAGAGCTGAGTTCTTGTGTCCTCTGCCTGAGCCAGCCTGGAGCGTGGAAGGAGTGGATGGAACACAAAGCCCGTCTCTCCACATCCGACAGATGCCCAGGATGGGTGCCGTGGGCTTGGCCTGAATATTTATTCCAGTCATTGAAATCTCTGGGGCCTGGCACGCTCTAGTGAACCAAGTCCAAGGCACCCGGAAACACTGGACGCATGTCCCCCGGAGGGTGGGAAGTAAGGCGAGAAGGAGGAATCAGCTAGGCCCATCGGAAACTGGAAATAGGCCTTTAGGGCATCCGTTCCCTTTGGAGCTGGTGAATCTGGTCTGGGTGGCCCATCACTCCCACGCAGCAGTTCCAGAGAACTGTCCTGGCGTAGTTTCCGCCTGTGGCATCTCTGAACCCATCAGACTGAGCTTTTTTTTTTTTTTTTTTTTGCGGGGAGGGAATGTGTTTTCCTTCCTTCCTGCTTAGACTCTGTTGCGGTGAAGGTATTTAGTTGCATACGAAAAAGACTAATGAGGGGCTGGAGCGATAGTACAGCAGGGAGGGTGTTTGCCTTGCACACAGCCAATGACGGTTCGGTCCCCAGCATCCCGTGTGATCCCCGAGCACTGCTAGGAGTAACTCCTGAGTGCAAGAGCCAAGAGTAACCCCTGTGCATGGCCGGGTGTGACCCAAAAAGAAAAATAATAATAACAATAAAAGAAAAAAACTAACGAGCTCCTTTCGAACTTACAAATCACAGACATGTTATGAATTTTATTTAGGTGCTCTTGAGCTCATGATGCCAGTGGGGTTTGTTTGTTTATTTGTTTGTTTATAAACTTTTTGTAAAAACTTTTATTATTATGAAAGCATCATTCCTTTTCCAGAGTTAGACATGCTTTGAAACACGGAAAGACGTGATTTCCTCTGTTGGGAATTTGGAAAGGTTCCTGGGAGCAGTGGAATAAATGGAAGAATTAGGGAAGGGGCTGAAGGTGGGGTCTGGCCACATGTGGCCCGTGGGTAAGGTCCAAACACTTGGCCACATGAGTGCGGGGAAGATTCTGTGGCCTTGGCACCGGGGGTTTCATCTCAGCGAGAAAGCTCATGATGTTTGAACACAGTGTACCTGAAATTCCTTGTTTTCCTCTTTTCAGAGCTATCTTGTTTTACCAAGAGCTCATCCGTTAGAGATTTAGATGGAGTTTCCAACAGTTTACAAAACAGTTCGTCCATCGAACCAGCAGCGCCTTGTGAAATAACATATGTGAATCAAAACAGTGAAATCTAGCCGTTGGCCTTACCACAGAGTAGTTTTGGTCTGTGTGTGCAGGAAGGACTTCAGGTTTTTGGTTAAGGAGGTAGTTAATGTGAGGGCGAGATCTCACCTTTGAATCTATAGTGAAGCAAGTGGCGGGAGGGGGGGGGAGAAATCATGAAAACCTCCGAATCCGTTTTAATCAGCGTTCTGAGAAGTAGCCTACCTCCGAGTTTGCCAGCCAGGGTGCGTTTTTTCACGTTCCACGTGAGATTTTTCTCCCAGCATCATGGCAAAGCTCACATAATCCAGTACGTTCGAGTTGTCTGATTTCTCCTCACAAGAATAAGGAACTTTGAGATTCTCTGGAATCTTTGGAAGAAGCACCCCCCCCCCCCCCCCACACACACACACACAGTCTCCACAACATGGCCCCAGGGGTTGGCCTCCTGATCCCGCTCTCTCGGTAACACGCAGTTCCAGGGACCGTGGGGTCGCCTCAGAACGCCACTTGCCAGTGGGTGACAGGGTTGAGGTGCAGGTCCTAAGAGGCTGGCGCCACGCTGCCTTCAGAGACCCACCCTCACCCCACACACAGCGCCCCAAAGCTGGGTGACCAGCCTCGGGCTTCTGAGGACAGAACTGCAAGACATTGGTTCTGTGTCCAGCCTTCTGTGGAGAGAGGTGTCTCGTCAGGGATTGGCTTGCGGGATGGTGGCTTCCCCAGCGAGCCGGATGGACCGGGGCCTTGTCCAAGTCCTGACGCCCCAGCCCACGCGTGCTGGTGGCTCAGCCCTTCCCTGAAGGCCAGCAGACCCTGTTGTGTCCATTCCATCGTGGTGTCCAGTCTGCTGGCCAGGTGCATTCCTCTTTTCATTGCGCCTTCCTCTGATGGGACAGTCCCACCTCCTCAGGTGGGCAGTCTGCCTTTCTCAGCCCAGTAACTTCAGGCATCACCTCACAGACACACCCAGAATCACGTTTCCTAGAGAATCAGGGTCACCTTGGCTCGATCGCAGGCTTCATCGCAGGCTGCAGCCCCCGGAGCAGAGACCCATCACGGTGGCCCGTTCCTTTGCTTTCCCGCCCGCTGGACACCGTGTCATTGAGAGTGTTCTTTTGAATCCGAGCGTCCCACTTGACAGAAACAGAAAGTAGGCCAGTGGGCACCCGGGTCGCGGGGGCATCCCTGATGCTCTGACTCAAATGGGAGAGCGCCCGCACCTCTCTCTCTCTCTCTCTCTTTCTCTCTCTCTCTCTCACTGGGTCACCAGGCCCCATCACTTCCTCCTGAGGTACCATCACGGCCTCCAGATGATCGACCCCTCTAGGGGTGGGACATTGTCATGGCCCCTGAGACTCTGGCCATACCCTCCTGCGGGCCAGCTCCAGGGGGTGTCACCTCACCTGGGAGCCACTTCAGTTGAGCGCTCTTGACCAACAAGCTGAGGTGTTGGACCTCTTGAATGATTGAGGTGAAACTGGGGTCTAGGTTGTTGGTTTTGGTTTTTGTTTTCTCAGAAGCTTGAGGGGGGGGGGGGGAAGCAAGCTTCCCAAATGAACATCAACATTTAAAGCAAGTGTCATTAAAGCAGAGCTGAGGTCAGCTCACTCTACAGGACGTTGAGATTTTCCTGTCAGGGGCGTTTGTTGTAAGCTCTCAGCACGCCTTATGTGTCTTTCGTTCACTCCTGTTGATGTTCGTCAGAGACAAACTCTCCATGCTGCTCCTGTAGCTTTTACATAACATATACGTAACGTTGCTTGTCTTTTCCAATGAGCTCGGAGTCAGTACCCTGATCCTTGGAGACAGTCATCTGTCGCCAGGGTTCTCCTCACCTGCCTCTAGGCCGCGGTACATGAGTATTTGAACTTTAAAGGCCAGTTTTTGCATTGCTTTAATGCAGTGTGTCAAAAAAAATTTTTTTTACATCATACCACCTTGTTATTTCTTCTTTATTTGGAAAGTTTCCTAGTGTTGCCCTTCTAGGAAATCTTATGTAACCCTGTTTTTCTGTTAGACAATTTAGTAAGAGAGTTTGACTAGAAGCATCTTGTCTAGATTTCTCTTTTAACACTGTGTAATCTCACATGTAACCTTTTAAGAAATACACAGGAGAACATGGCTAGAGAGAAGGTTTTGTTTTGTTTGGGGGCCACACGCGGCTCTGCTCAGGGCTTACACCTGGCTCTACCCTCAGATCATTCCTGTGCTCGGTGATCCAACCCGGGCAAGGCAAACACCCCACCCACTGGACCGCTCAGACCCGGGGCCAAATTAATTCTAGAATCCTAGACTTGTTCTCTCTCAAACTGGATCATAAATTCTCAGAAGAAAGAATAGCCATTCATAATGGTTAAAAAAGAAACACGAGTTATAATGCTCGTGATAATGAATGTTTTTCATGGGAAGGAAATGGGCATCCTAAGATACTGGATATTAATATGAGTTCATTCATTTCTGTATTGGTGGATATTAAAATGAATTCACTCACTTCTGTATTAGCTAGCGGAAGGATATTCTCATTGGGAAGAATTAATGGGGATATTGCTTTTAGATATGACCAGATAAAATTGATTAGAATGCCCTATGAAATGCATGTTTAGAAAAGGTAATTTCACCTTGATACTTAAATTTCTTTATGGGAAAATATGCTTAATGGTTTAAGAAGATATATCACTTCTTGTAGGAATAAGGAGGATTTTCTGTACTGTCATCCTTTAATCAGAAACTTAGATTATGATACTTTGAACCAACTTTTAGAACCACATTTCATGTTCCCTTTAGGTAGGACTATAAAATTTCTTATTTCTCAAAAAAAGATCATGTCTAAAAGACCACTAATGTGTTCTGTTTTATTTTTCACTCTCAAGACCGCTGAGAAATCAGGCCAGATGGAAAGATCCAAGAATGTAAGGCAGAGACAAAATGATTTTAAGGTGAGTCGAGTTCACTGAGTGCGTAGATTTGATGAGAGGGCGGGAAGGTGATTTGTGTATCCACCATCTTCGCTGTTGTCACAGAATCTTTTCACCCGACCCCATACCAGGGCAGGGCCGGTCATGCAGTTCTCTTGCTCTCATTGTCTAGAAAATGATTCAGGAAGTGATGCAGTGCCTCGTGAAGCTCGTCCGCGGGGCTCTGCTCCCCCTCAGCATCCCAGAAGGCGGCCTGAGGCAGTACGGGGGCTGGGAGGTGAAGGCTGAGCTCTCGGGACAGTGGCTGGCGCACGTCATCCAGACCCTGAGGTAAACTTGGGCACGTTCTTCTGCAAAAAGCACTTTCTTCTTGTTTGTTTTTTTGGGTCACACCCAGCGATGCTCAGGGGTTCTTCCTGGCTCTGCACTCAGGGATTGTTCCTGGCGATGCTTGAGGGACCATATGGGATGTTGAGGATCGAACCTGGGTCAGCCGCTTGCAAGGCAAATGCCCTACCTGCTGTACTATCACTCCAGTCCCTGGAAAAAGCACTTCTTTGTCAGGATTTGAAAACAGAAGCAAAGCCCCCGATCTCCGTGTGAACTGTCATTTTTAATCCATCCAGACGAAGCGTCTTTTGCCCCCGCTGTGGGCCAGGGCTGTTCCCCAAGAGTCTTCCAGCCACTGGAAGTTTCCGGTGTTTGTACCTGAGGACCTGCCTTACTGTGCCAGCCTCCTTCCTCTCGCTTCCTCAAGTTGTCACCTCTGTCCCAGGCCTGTCTGGAAGCTTCCAGAATTCAGAGGAATTACATAGGACGGCTAGCAGGGCTGCTGAGGGCCTGCACCCTGCTGCCTCTCTCACCCACCTTCCCTATCTTTTGTTTGCATCACAGGCTCACGTACGAATCCCTCTCCGCCCTGGAGATTCCTAACGACATGCTCCAGACCGTCCAGGACCTCATCTTGGACCTCCGAGTGCGCTGTGTGATGGTCACGTTGGAACACACGGCGGAAGGTTTGTGAGGAAGCGGTGATGGTGGCGCCAGGGTGTGACCTCTGGGGAGAGTGCTTAGACTGGCATGTGTGAGGCCCTGGGTTTGATCCCTGACGCTGCAGAAGTAGAGAAATAGGAACGTAGATGGCCTCTGTTAGAGAATCACTCCCTTGGTATGCTCACTCTCTCCACATTGCAGATCCTTGGCAGTGAGAACACTATAGTCCACATCCCAAGCATATTCCAAATTCTGATAGTGTTTGAATAGGTGATCTCTAGCTGATCAACATAACATTTTCTTTTGCTTTCTTTTCATGCCTCTCTTGGAAATCCAAAAACCAAGCCGAACTTGTGGTGGATCTACTTAAAACATTCCCAAGGATAGATGAATGTCTCTTTTGCAAATGTTAAGCAGAAAAATTAGAATATTAGGGGTCTTTTACAGGAGGTTCCCAAACTTGAAAATATATGAGGCCATTTTTAATTTAGAAATAGCGTAAAACCAGAAATAAAGATTGCCAACAAAGGTATCCATGCACTGTGGCAGTGACAGGGAATGCTTTTTCTTTTGGGTTGCTTTTTTGGGTCACACCCAGCGATGCTCAGGGGCTACTCCTTGCTCTGCACACAGGAATTACTCCTGGCAGTGCTCGGAGGACCATATAGGATGCTGGGAGTCAAACCTGGGTTGGCCGCATGCAAGGGAAACACCCTACTCACTGTATGATCACTCCAGCCCTGGGAATGCTTTTTCCTTACAATGGAATCAATCAAGAACTCTAAACAATTCATCCCAGGTGGCTTTCCTTGTCATTGGCCACCAGGGCCGGGGAGGTCAGCTTCCTTGCTGAACTGGGAACTGAAACGGTCACGCACCCCTTCCAGCCCACAGCCAACCCCTCACAAATTGGTGGCCCCACCCTTGCTCCACACAGACACAGTGTCACACATCTCTGACGTGGTCCCCCCCCCCCCCCAGGTTGAAATCCCCCAGGGGCGCATTTCTCAGAACACAAACCTGATGCCAAGGATACATGAACATCACCGAGTTCATGGAAAGGGAGAAGGAATCCAGGGAGGAGATGGAGTAGCCGCACCTTGTTCTCTCTGTCACCTCCTTTCTTCGGGAATCCCAGTGGTCTCGCCACGCCCAGGGTTTCCACCCCTGACGTGCTGTCATCGACCCCAGAGTATCGGAATAAAAGGGAATCGTAAATGTTCCTTAGAAAGCAGGGGGTGGGGGTGGGGGAAACGTGGCCTGAGCCTACCTTGCGCATCATCAGGACAGCGCATGGAGTAAGTAACTGACTGTGGTCTGAGGTCGTAGTCATCCCTGCCCTGTGTCCTTCAGGTTGAGCTGTCCAACACAGACTTTGATATACACGAAAATAAAGTGCTCACTGGCTCTGGACAGCTGCCTCAGGTTACCCTTGCTAAGGAAAGGCGTGCGCTTGGTGGGAGAAAAAACGGCCCTGTTCTCTGGTCTTGTCCGTTTTTTCATAATAAGTTGATAAAATGAAGAGTCCAGCGGGGCTAGTGAAATGCAGTGAAATGAAAATAGGCCCACCGGAAAAGTCCAGTGAGCAGTGCATAGATAAATTTCACCAGTTTTTACAAGCATAGGTAGGACGATTTAAAGCCATGGCCCGTACAGACTTTTATCGTGCTAAACTCCAATGGGAGCATTGTAATAAAATCTTCTCTCTGCTTGTCTCCCCTGCAGAAGTAAAGAGATTAGCAGAAAAGGAAGATTGGGTTGTCGATAACGAAGGCCTGACTTCTCTAGTAAGTCCAGATTCTCTTCAGTGGCTCAGAGCGTCTCGTTCATTCAAAATAAATGCTTTATTTTATGGAAAGAAAAACATCTGCGCGCTCTCTATTGCAACTCACTGTCCTTCTGGAAAGAGAAATATAAACCTCTCCTCAGAGTCAGTTTTGATTATCATGTATGGTAGATATTTAAAAATTAACTTGAAAGATGGATTTTGTTTTTCGGAGCGCTCGCTCTTCATCCAGTTTCAGCTACTGTTTGTTTTTTGTAGAAATATGGATTAATAGACTCTGTTTCATTCTAAATTCCCCACCGACTGGAATATGTCCAGAAGCACCATTGACCAAATGCCGTTGCTGGTCCTTGAACTGGTCGGCCAGAAAACCAGTACCCGAGGACCCTGCCAAGTACCCAGCCCCACCGCTGACCTGTCGTGCTTTGTATTCACACGAAGGCGTTTGATGAAGCCAAGATCTCTGATCCCGGGGCCACTGGCATCACGTCTGAGTTTTAAGTTCCACCTTCCCACTCCCAGACGTCTTTTGTGTGATGCTGGTGCGTTTAATTCGGACCTCGAGCCAGGAAGCTCGACCCGGGAGGTATCAGTTGGGGTTGCCTGATCCCATGAAATAAGCCGGGACAACAGTGCTTGCCTTGCTCTTGCTAAGCTGAGGTGTGCGCTCTCTGGGAGAAAGCTAGAGGTTCTCAGGACACCCAAAAGGAGAGAGAGAGAGAGAGAGAGAGAGAGAGAGAGAGAGAGAGAGAGAGAAGGTGCCTGCCACAGAGGCAGGGGGTGGGAAGGGATGAGAATGGCGGGAGGGACACTGGGAACATTGGCGGTGGAGAATGGGCACTGATGGAGGGATGGGTGCTTGATCATTGTGTGACTGAAACGTAATCAGGAAAGCTTGTAAGTCTGTTTAAAAAAATTCTTTTTTTTTTTTTACTTAAAAAAAATAAAACTAGAGGTTCTGCTTTCCAGATTAAATAAATGGATGGCAGCTCCGCAGGACTAGTGTAAATGCCATCACACTTGGCGCTAAAGAAGGTACTGGCTTTGGGCCCCGCTTGGGGACCCTCCTCCTGCCCAGCCAGCCCAGAAGTGTTTTCAAGGCCCTTCCCGGGGCCCGTGTTGTCATGACTAACCTTAGTTGAGGACCATCTGGAAGACTGGGGGAAAGAGTCAGTATGGGAATGTGCTTGTGATCAAATGCTGCCCATGGGGTCGCTGGTGCCATGTGTGCATGTGTGGCCTCTCTCTCTCTCTCTCTCTCTCTCACACACACACACACACACACACACACACACATGCACGCGTGCACACACTAGCACGCCAAAAACCTGCTGCATCTGTGACTGGGTGCCCACAGGAAGTTCTCTGTGCCAGCTCGAGGCAGACGCATGGAAGAAACACGCTCAGGTCATTGGTTTGGACATGCTGAGCACAATTTCATGAGTTCACCGTGGGCCGCACTTAAAGGAAGAGGTGCCTGGTGCTCAGAGTCAGAGCTTAGCTCGGACTGCCTTCATCTCTGTAACTGTTCCTAGGCGAGGCGTGACTTCAGTGGTTTCCAGCCCTGTCCCCTACCTCTCACTGACACCCTGCTACTCTTATTTCCGTGACCCCAAGCCCCTCTGTCCGGAGCGGGAGACGTTTCTCCTTTCCTTCTCCCGGGGCCGCAAAGGTCAAGTCGCCCTGATCTGACCTCAGCCTGAGCGTTCTCTGGGCTGAGTGTATCTGGAATTCAAACCTTACCTCAGCTCCCCGAAAATCTTTTGCAAGCATCCTGTTTTTGCACGTTGAATATGTTCTCTGCCTTCCCCCCCCCCCCCCCCCCTCAGTGTGGATAATTCTGAGAACTTTCTGCTGTCAGAGTACTGGAATGATTTGTGGGAATTCCTCTGGGTCAGCTGAGCGGGTGATTCACCGACGACCCGCCGAGATAGGACTAGTTATTTCTTCTGAGGAAAAAAGCCGTGGCCGCCGTGTAGACCCGCGGGCACCCCAAGTCGAGTCGGGGAGCTGTGCACTTGGCACCCCACAGGTGCTGGTTAGGAAATAAGAAGAACATAGTCCAGATGTCCATCCGGGAATCTGCAGGGCCGCCCGGCAGACACCAGTACCTAAGTGCCTGGCGCTGCATTTCGGGTTCCGTTCCGTGGTTGTGGTTTTGACACCCTGGAGGAGGCAGGTGCGGGGGGTCCGACCCTCTGTGCGGCGGGGGGCTAACTTACCCTCCCCATCTCCCCATCTGGACCCTTTCTGTTTCAGCGTTTTCTGCACGGCGCCCTCTGGTGGCCCCGGATGCGCTGTGCGATGACTTTGGAGGGCAGGCGGGGTGTGTGTGCTTTTCTCCCCTTTTTCTGGAGGGACTGAGGCGTCTTGATCCTCGGGTCTCTGCTGGGATGTCCTCTCACTCCCAGAGGGGACCTTCTCCTCCTAACCCTCCTCCTTGGAGCACTCCGCCCTTTCATCGTTTTGCTTGAATGCCCATTTGCTTTCTACAGGACCCGACAGAGAATCTACTTTCCTTTCCTTTATTTCTACTCTTTCTTTCTTTTTTTTTTAAAGTAAGCTTTATTGGGCCTGGAGCGATAGCACAGCGGGGAGGGCGTTTGCCTTGCACCCGGCCCACCCGGGTTCGATTCCCAGCATCCCATAGGGTCCCCTGAGCACCGCCAGGAGTATAATTCCTGAGTGCAGAGCCAGGAGGAACCCCTGAGCATCACCGGATGTGACCCAAAAAGCAAAAATAAATAAATAAACCAATAAATCAATAAACAAACCAATAAATCAGTAAAGTGAGCTTCGTGATTTTGCTGGCTTTTAATATTGAGGTCGGATTCCCCCGCCCAAGAGTAGACCCCCTGATGAGAACTGTCTTGCTCTCCCGTCTCCTAGAGCAATGTGCCAAGGCCAGTCTTGCAGTCAGGGCGTCAGGCAGGAAGGGTCCACGTGGATGCCATCTCTCCTGAAGACCCTTTAGCTTGGCCGCATTTGTCTCTGAGTCGAATTCGAGGGCGGTTCGGGGTCCTGTTTCTTCGCGTCTTGTTTCGTGTCCTGCTGGGCACACCTCACTGATGTCGCCTCCCTGTCTCCTGCAGCCGTACCAGTTTGAACAGTGCATCGTCCATGCTCTGCAGTCTCTGAAGAGCGTCCTGGACTGCAAGCCCGGAGAAGCCAGCGTAAGCTTCCTGCCACGCCTCCTGCCCTGGGCTCCCTGTTCCTGACACCTCCCTGCCCCCCTGACCCGTTTCCTCGGGAGTCCTTGGGGATCACAACTATCCTTTTTCTGCATTAGCCTTTTGCCCCAGTTCTGCCTATGTCCTGATTCTACTGGTGCACACGGGCCATTCATGTGTGCCCTCCAAGGAGTACACGGCTGACGGGGGAAGGGGAACATGGGAACACGGGAACATGGACTGGACCACGGAAACAAAGGACCTTCAGTGTTGTCCTGCTCTCCCCAGCCCAACCCCTGCCGCTGTGGAGAAGCTTCCAGCAAGCCAGCCCTCTCCCGGGCCCCTGTCCAGGGCAGGGCCCCAGGTGTTAGCTTGGAGGACGAATCAGAAGTGTGGCTGTCACAGCGAAACCCCCAAGTTCTCCTCCAAATTGTTCCCACCAGGTGTTCCAGCAGCCCCAGACCCAGGAGGATGTCTGCCAACTAAGCATCACGATCATGCAGGTGGGCTTTGAACGCGGCAGGACCCCAAGGCCCACAACCTGCAGACTGTCAGGCCAGTCTCTTGCCCTGGTGGTCGGTCGGTCGGTATCAGAGGCACCGCCCTGAGCGTAATCATTTGCAGAAATGAAGGTAGCAACCGAAACTCAGGGGAGGTTATTCCAGCACACCTCGGCAATGTCCCCGACTTCTGTCCACTTAGCCTTTGCTCCTGTCCTCTCACGACTCTGCAGATATTTTTGTTGGCACGCAGGTGAAATAGCATTCCATTGGACTTTGAGAGTGAAACTTTTTGGCGGTGGCCTATCTTATAGGCGCACGATAGACCCAATTATAAAGCAGGCGAAGGAGTGAAAAGATCAAGCCTTTTTCCTAAAATGCAATCACAAACTTACTCACCAGATCGCAGAATCGAGGACTGCCCATATTTTTTTTTTTTATCCTTTGTACCACGTGTAATGGCCACTGGAAAATGACCCGGTTGTTCAGCGTCGTTTCACTACAGTGTTGTTGATGGAAAGAATTCCTGGCCACTGTTGAACAGAGGTCCTGTTGTTGTTCCACGCAGGTTTCATTTAAAGTCAGAGTTTCCAAGAACCTTGTGGCGGTGTCAAGTGAGGGATGACTGTACGTTGTTGGGATATTTATTCTGTCATTTCTGTGAGACAGTGGTGCTGGGTGCCTAAGGACGTGCAGAAAACCCTCGTAGGATGGCCGTTTCCGGTTTTGAATTTATGGAAACCTATTACTTTCTCTCTTTCTTTCTTTCTTTCTTTCTTTCTTTCTTTCTTTCTCTTTTTCTTTCTTTCTTTCTCTCTTTCTTTCTTTCTTTCTCTCTTAATGTAGGAGTACTATTTATTCAGCTATTGATTAAGCTGATTGAACTGGGCATGAACTCTACCGTAAACCTATTTCAAATGCCCCGAATTCAAGATTAGTAGCCAAAAGATTATTTAGGTTCTATACCTGAGAGTCCAGATCAGTTAAACCTTTTTTTTTTTTTAACTTAGGTTTTTATCTGCTGTTTGGAACAGTTGAGCACCAAACCTGATGCGGATATAGACACCTCACAGTAAGTAACACTGAACTCAATCACACCAAAGCATTCAGGAGGGTTGAAAACACAGACCAGTGTTCGATCTTTGACCACATCTGTAGAATAACACTGCCACAGGGAGCTCAGGTTTATCGGGCTACACCCGTCACAGTGCTCCCGAGTCACTCCCATTCCTCTGTTTATCTGTAAACTCTTCTCTGTGCTCTCCTCCCCAGCCAGTTAATCACCTTTTCTGCCTAATTAGATTTTGTTAGCTTGTAAGATCAGATCCTTCTAAGGACACTGAACTTGTATTGTAAGTTATGTCCTTTGCATAGTTTACCTTAAAGCAATGTCCTTTCTGTATGGACACAGGAAGACAGTTAATATTATGCTTTGTAACTCGGGAGTTGATTGATTCTGAATAATATTTACTCCTGGGCATCTGCTTTCTTGACTCAGTTGCCCTTAGTTCCTAGCACCCCAAAAGAAGGGTCCCGACGAGGGACTGAATAGACCCAGGGCAAGCTGTGAGCCACCCTGGCATCGAAATGGGCCAGGCCAAAGCGCCGCGATACTCAACTATAAGTTGAGGGCATGATCATGGACAAATACTGTCATGATCCAAAAGTAAGTAACGACGAGACTAGGACCCTGCTGGGCTAACCTGGCCTGAGGACTATAATATAATATATATATATATATAGAGAGAGAGAGAGTGTGTGTGTGTGTGTGTGTGTGAGTGTGTGTGTATACACATCCTAGGGATATGAGAGATAAGATAGGGAGGACAGTTGCGTTTTAAAGCTGTATTTTTACACACTCGATAATTTACCTTCTGAACTCAGCCTTGCTAGGGGCATGTTGAGGGAGTGAGCGTGTGGCCAGCTCACTAATTATCCAAAGGGACAGGTATTATAAAGGAGCAAGTGAAAAATTTGAATATGTAACACCTAGTTGGTGCATGTTTACAATTCTGGGTATTGGGGGATATACCAATACTCGTATCCAAAAAAAAAAAAAAAAAACAGCAACTATTCACAATAGTCAGAATCTGGAAACAACCCAAGTGGCCAAGTTTAAAGAAGCTAGGGTACATCTACATAATGGAATACTATGCAGCTGTTAGGAAAAATGAAGTCATGAAATTCACTTATAAACGGATGGAGATGGAGAGTGTCCTGCTGAGTGAGGTGAGTGGGACAGACAGAGAATGTCTGCACTCATTTGTGGGATATAAAAAAAAAAACGGTATGAGACTAATATCCAAAGACAGTAGAAACGAGGGCCAGGAGGATTGGTCCATGGTTGGATGGATGGTGGATGGATGGGTGTTGGAACACTGTATGACTGAAATCCCATCATGAACAGCTTTGTAACTGTGTATCTCACAGTGATTCAGAGTTTCAAAAAAAGAAGAGAAAAAAAGAAACTGAAAAAAAAAAAAAAAACCCTAGCAAGTTAGTGGAATTAAGTTTGGGTCAGGCTGAGTTATTTGAAGTCTGTAGGCCATATCTTGATATTTACAATTCATGTGATAATATTCTTTTCTAGTACTGTTTTGTAGGATTAAAAAAAAACCACTTCCTGTATGATATTGTTCCTGTATGATGTTTTACCTCTTTTAACATCTGTGGAGCTAAGACTTATTGAGCCCTGACACAAAAAGGCCTCTGAGAGCTATAATCGACAGGTTCAGAATTTACCATTTTTGTCCATTTCCTCGTATTTAATTTTGCACGCCAGTATCTAGTACATCATCTCTGGGACATAATCAATACTTAGTTCTTCTAATTTTCCCTTAATATCATTCTGTGTTGAACCAGTCTTCTTAAGTCTTGTATTCTTAGCCGGCATCCCACTGCTATGAATTCAGTGTCCTCCCTTACTGTTCTGTTACAACTTTCTATCCCAGGTATTGCCGAAAAGCTTTCATGTTTTTTAAAAATATATAGTTTAGGGACTGGAGTGATAGCATAGTGGGTAGGGCATTTGCCTTGCACGTGGCCAACCCGGGTTCGATTCCCAGCATCCGATATGGTCCCCCAAGCACCGCCAGGAGTAGTTCCTGGGTGCAGAGCCAAGAGTAACCCCTGCGCATCACCAGGTGTAACCCAAAAAGAAAAAAAAATCACCAGTCTGGGATTAGAGCGATAGTCCAGCGGGTAGGGCATTTGCCTTGTACATGACTGACCCAGGTTCAATCCCCAGCATCCCATATGGTCCCCCAAGCACCGCCAGGAGTAATTCCTGAGTGCATGAGCCAGGAGTAACCCCCATGCATCACTGGGTGTCACCCAAAAAGCAATATATGATATATATATATATATATATATATATATATATATATATGGACTGGAGTGATAGCACAGTGGGTAGAGCATTTGCTTTGCACACGGCCAACCTGGGTACCCAGGTTTGATTCCTCTGCCCCTCTCGAAGGGCCTGGCAAACTACTGAATGTATCTTGCCTGCATAGCAAAGCCTGGCAAGCTACCCATGATGTATTCGATATGCCAAAAACAATAACAAGTCTCACAATTACTGGTGCCCGCTCGAGCAAATTGAGACATTACTGGTGCCCGCTCGAGCAAATCGAGACATTACTGGTGCCCGTTCGAGCAAATTGATGAACAATGGGAGGACGGTGCTACAGTGCTATATATATATATATATATATATATATATATATATATATATATATACATATTAGGTAATTGGGTTCCAGCAGTGTTCCAGCTTACTGATGTACATAGTCACTGCACGCACACCCCGACAAAGTGCCCATGACCTCTCGTCCCCAGCTGGATGTCACCTCTGGTCTGACCTCAGCCCCACTCTCCTCTTATTTGTTGATTGATAATGATCGAGTTGGTACCTGCCAGCAGCCACCACGCATGTGCTCCAGACCCACCATAGCCCCCTGCTCCTCCATCCCCCACCCCTCGGCACCCTCCCCTCAGCCCCTGACCCATCTCTCAGGTCTGTTCAGCATGTCCAACTTTCATTCACTCTCAACTGAAAGCAGATACTGTTGAATTCTTCCACGCAGGAGGGGGCATTTCCAGACTTACCTTCCGTTTCCTCTCTGTCCCCCTCGACTTTTATCAGTATGTTCTGCTCGACGATCATTAGACTGTTTCCATCGATAACCTTTGTTGCTTTTTTCTGTGTTGAAAGATCACTTGATACTTGCCTAACGCTGTATTCTCTCACATGAATGCTAAACTATTTTGATTTCAAGAGAAGAGTTCCTGCTAAGGAGGTTTTTATTAATTTATTTTTTTTTTAATTTTTATTAGTGAGACACCGTGAGGTACAGTTGTAGACTTACAAATTTTTGTGCTTGGGTTTCAGTTACACAATGATCGAACACCCATCCGTCAATCAATGCCCATTTTCCACCACCAATAATCCCAGTAGCCCTCCCACTCCCCATCCCCCCATCCCACCCTACCTCTGTGACAGGGCACATTCCCTTTTGTTCTCTCTCTCCTTTTGGGTGTTGTGGTTTGCCAAAGAGTCATTGAGTGGCAATCCTGTTCGGTCTGTAGTCTACTCTCAGCACGTATCTCCCATCCTGGGAGGATCCTTAAGGAGGGTTTTTTAGGATTCTGTTACATCTGTAAATTATCTGTAGTCTATAGATAGAGGTCTAATTCTTTGTATAAATTAATACTGGCTTTATAGTATTCTCTTCTCACCAATTTATGTGTGTGTGTGTGTGTGTGTGTGTGTGTGTGTGTGTGTGTGTTGTCAGCTAACTTCTCATTGGACGTACTCAACTAACTTCCTGTTTCAACTAAATTTGTAAGTGGTTTACTGTGAAAATGAGCCTGGAGTGGCCGGGAGTAGAGCTCAGTGGCAGAGCACGTGACGTGAGTGCCCGGACCTCTGGGGTTAGCCCCTCAGTCGCTGCCCTCCCCCATAACCTCCCACAAAAGTGAGCGTATGAAATCCCCCATGGGCCTCGCTCTGGCGGTTTTCCTAGGCAAAACATTTCAATTGTGTGCATATGCACCTAGAAATAAAATTGTTTGCTATTTCCTGCCTAGGTTTTTAAATTAAGATTTCATTTGGATGGGCATGGAGCGATAGTACAGCAGGGAGGGCATTTGTCTTGCACATGGCTGACCCGGGTTCGATCCCCGGCATCCTCTAGGGTCCCCCAGCACTGCTAGGAGTAATTCCTGAGTGCAGAGCCAGGAGGAACCCCTGTGCATCGCTGGGTGTGACCCAAAAAGAAAAAAAAAAAGATTTCATTTGGGGTATAAATCTAATTGATTTGGTAATGGAAATAGCCCCAGAATCTCACGTGACCCATGTTAATAGTTCTAGCTTGAACTCTGAATAGTTTAACCCAGGAAAGCCCATAGCAGCTGCGATTTCTGACCAAAATATCTAAGAGACAGAGTTCCACCTCTTCTCGGTGCCTTAGTCATAACTCCTCTTTTACTTGCTTTTATCTTCAGTCTTTCTGTTGATGTTTCGTCCCCTGATTTGTTTGGGAGTGTCCATGAAGACTTCAGCTTGACGTCCGTAAGTAAGATGCTGAGTAATTCAAAGGATAAAGAGAAAGTGAAACAGTGCTTGGAGCCGACAAGTGACCTGCCCCCGGCTGAATCACCTGCTAGTCCTCTCGTTGCCTTGGAGTGCTCCTGGGCCTCATGGGAGTTAGCTAGACACGCTCTCAGGAGATGCTGCATGGAGACCTTTCTGGCAGGAGCTGTTGCTTCAGGAACCTCAGCTTCTCTCTGAGACACAGAGTCGGGCGGAGAGGGGGGTGGGGAGCAGGAGCCCTGGAGACCCCTGGGCCATGAGAGTTGGGGGCACGGCAGACAGGCTCATTCTGCTCTATGTTCTACCTTCCCTGCTTGACCTCTGTAGCGTTTGTTGTTGTGGGGCCCATGCAGGGGAGTCCAGGATACCATGTACTGCCGGGAGTCAACCCCAGGGCCTTTGAGCGTGCACGGCATATTCCAGAGCCATATTCTAGAGCACGTCTTAACCGAGTGTCTGTGAGGGAAAACCAAGCCAAGCTATCAAAGATAGAAAGAGCTTTGTGTCCATCTTTCAGGGGGATAGAGACATAAATGTAGGGTGTCCCTAGAGAGATGGGGTGAGATATTGTGTGATCAGGTGAGATATATAGGTGAATATTTAGGGACTGTAGCACTGTCCTCCCGTTGTTCATCGATTTAGGGACACTCTGTACAAAAAAATTGATCACGTATACATTCAGTTGTCATCATCCAAACTCCAGCCATCCTCAAGACAAACTCGCCCTCTGTTTCGTCATCTCCCGAAGGACACGTACTTGTACATCAGAAGCAAATACGAAGCTGCCACTTTTCCTCAGTGTCATTTGCCCGCTCGAGCAAATTGATGAGTAACGGGATATCAAGGGATCAAGGGATCATTTGCCCAGTCCCCATAGCTACAAGCATAAATTCCCCAATAAAAGATTCGCATGTTAGGAAAAGGCTCATCAAAAGAAATTAGAAGAGAAGTAGTCTCCGTTTAACTGCTCGTGAACTCGGGAAAGAGTGATAGCAGACCGGGAGAGAGTTCAGCGAGGAAACAGGTGGGAAGAAGGATTGGTCCTTCCCTGTGGGAGCGGGACCATGGGACTCGTGACTCTGGGTGGGAGAGGTGTCCGGTGGGTGAGCAGTCGGACCTTTGCAGACGCCCCGAGTGGGGGAATAAAAATCTAGACACAGATTTGTGAATCAGTGACACAAAAGGAGTATCAGGCCTGTGGAAGTCTCCTGGGAAGAATAGAATAGACTGAGCAGAGGCCCAGATCATCGAAATACCCTCAGAGTCCCGCCTGGCAGGAGGGCCAGTAGCGGAGAGAGACGGGTGGGAGAGAGGCCGGAGCTCCAAGACTCGAGACTCAGAACTGGGCCTTGCCTGGGGCTCCAACCACAGCCACTCGGACCCACCACCATCCAATGGAAACTGCAGTGCAGCGAGTGACCAGCCAAGATGAGCAGCCTCAAAGGGCAGCCCGGGGCCACGTCCTAGCTGGGGTTCTGGGGCATAGGGGAGCAGAGGAAGTTGGTACCCATCTTCCCGCCTTGAACAGAGGGAGCAGCCGAGTCATGTGGCAGCCACGTGGGCATGCTGTCCCCCCTGGCTCGGACCGACATGCCCACGGGAAGATGGTTGCTGGCTTTCCTGGGTGGACATTGTCCCCTGCAACCAAGACTCCTGCCTTTATTTCTTTGTTTTTTTTTTTGCATTCTTTTTTTGATTTGTTTTGTTTTTGGGTCACACCCAGGGATGCTCAGAGGCTGCTTCTGGCTCTGCACTGGGGAGTTACTCCTGGCAGTGCTCAAGGGACCCTATGGGATGCTGAGAATCGAACCTGGGTCGGCTGCGTGCAAGGCAAACGCCCTTCCCGCTGTGCTATCACTCCATGCCTTTATTTCTTAGATCCAGTGGCTCTAAGACAAAAGTCCGTTCCCGTTGTTGTTGAGGTCACATCTCTCTGGTGCATCCGTGGCACCGGCCAGATGACCCGGAGTCCACGAGTGAGAGGCGTCCCTCAGGGCCACAGGCTTCAGGCCTGGCCAGGAAGAGAAAACTCTCAAAGGACGAGACAAGGAAGGACCGATGTTATTTGTTGATCCTGGCTGGGTGTGGGGGCCACAGCCGGGGGTGTGGAAGGCTTACCCTGGTGGGGTGTAAGGGCCGGACAAGGCCAGCACCATATCCTCTGCCGCGTCACTCAGGTGTCTGCAGTGCTGGTTTTGATCTCGGAGCACTCAGTTGTGCTTGAGAGGAGCCCGAGTGACCGACACGGCCTGGACTTACTTTCTCGGGTGCTCTGGGACTGACACCGCCGTGAGTTCCCCGCCCCTTGGCCAGATGTGCTGTCTAGCCATTGCTCACTTGCCATGGTCCACCAAACGTGGCAGCGGACTCCCAATCCACGCCAGTGGTGCTCACCTGATTTCAGCCCGGGGCACCCCAGCAGTGACAGGCTGCCCCATGGCTCAGGCAGCTGAGTAATTCCTCTCCTGAGCCAGCACATCTGTCGAAGGCCAGGGAAGAGGCAGGGGACAGGCAGTGCATGGCCAGCCTAGCCCCTTGCAAACACTCTCCACACGTTGGGAAGTGTGGGATGGCAGGAAGAGGAGTGGCGAGAGCTGGCCCTCCCGCTCGGCCACTGAGTTCCAGGTGTGAGCTCTCTCTGGAGCCCTCGCACCTCAAGAGACGGTGCAGTTCCACGTTTATGGCTTGGGCCTCAGAGCCGCCCTTCTGGGTAGGTGCAGACCTGGGAGCGAGACGCACCTTGTCCTGGAGTCAGCGGCTTTCTCCTGTCGCTGGGGCCCAGGGGTGGGAAGGGAAGGACCTCAAGGCATCGGCGCCCCCTCCCCACCCCAGCGAAGGCCCGGAGCCCACCTGACCGGCGAGGGCCTCAGTGGTGGGCCACATGTCGCTGTCGGGCCGTTCCTGGAACCGACTTGACACAGGTTGTGCCTCCCAACTGTTCAGAGGGTGTTTTCCTCGGCAGTACTGACCCAGACCTTTTGACAAGTTGCTTTTCCTGGCAAGAACCTGGGAGAAGGGAGACTATGGGCGCAGCCTACCCCCCCATAGGAGTCAGCGTATTAGACTTGAGAAGTTGACAGACTAGGGGACAGAGAGGGGACAGTGGGCTGGCATTAGCCCTGCTCACGGCTCAACTGGACTCAGCTTCCAGCACTGTGCAGGGTTCCCTGAGCTCCCCCAGGAGTGCTCCCAAACAGAGCCAGGAGTAAGCCCCGAGCACCTCCAGGTGTGGCCCCCTCATCAAAAATAAAAGACGGTGGTGGGGCTGGAGGGATAGCACAGCAGGTAGGGTGTTTGCCTTGCATGCGGCCGACCCGGATTCGAGTCCCAGCATCCCATATGGTCCCCCGAGCACTGCCAGGAGTAATTCCTGAGTGCATGAGCCAGGAGTAACCTCTATGCATTTCCGGATGTGACCCCCTCCCCCAAATTTAAAAATTTAAAAAAAGATAAGGGGCTGGAGTAAGAGTGCAGCGGGTAGGGCATTTGTTTTGCATGTAGCTGACCCGGGTTCGATTCCCAGCATCTCATAGGGTCCCCTGAGCATTGCCAGAGGTAACTCCTGAGTGTAGAGCCAAGAGAACCCCTGTGCATTGCCGGGTGTGACTCAAAAACTAACTAACTAAATAAATAAATAAGCAAACAAATAAAAATAAAAGACAGTGAGCGGACGTTCTCCAACGGAACCCATGCTAGAGCTGGCTTTACCATTCTCTCCCGAGTGATGGAGAGTTCCGAAGCCTGTCTGCATTTTATTGCGCTTACTTAAAAATCGATGTTAGATTGATGTGCATGCGAGATCATTATTACTAGGATCGTAAACCACACAATCTCCATCAATCAACACATTCTTTCAATAAAAATAGATGTCGCAGGCTTGGTTTGCTTGGGAGCGGGTTATTGATTCTTTCTGGCTTTGGCAAACAGCGTGTTGGAGAGAAGGATAACCCTAGACCACGAGCCCATTGAGACTTTCCTGGTGAACTGTCTCCTCTGCCATCCGTTTCCCCGCCCGGTTGTCCCAGCTGCGGAGTTGATACTCGCATGTTGTCTTTCTCTCCCTCTCTCTATTGTGGGTCTGGAAGAGAAAAAACTGAGAGAAAAAAAAAAAACACGCGCACCAAGCCGGGGCGGCTGGATAGCCAGCACCGGGCAGGGCTGATGCTGTGACCCCTTGTCCCTCATGTATGTCACTGGACGCCGTGACCAAGGATTTGCAAAAGGACTGTGCTTTGCTTGCAGGAACAGCGACTTCTGATCGTCCTCAGCAACTGCTGCCGCCTGGAGCGACATACTTTCCTGAACATCGCCGACCACTTCGAGAAGCACAACTTCCAGGGCGCAGAGAGAATCACGCAGGTCAGTGACGGATCCCCCCGGGCCAAGGCGCTGGCTCTCGCCACCCACCCTGGTGCTCCACTCGGCAGCCCCTCGCTCTCGCCTCTCCTGGCCTTCCCAGGCAGAGCTGATGGTCTCCCCCACCAACGCTGTTCCAAGGAGGGAAGGAAGGAGGGAGAGAGCGGAGACCCCCAAGGCCAGACCCCTCGAGAGCCTCTCCCCACGCCTCCTTGTAGCGTGGGCTTTTTTTTACTTGGGGCCACAGCTCATGCTCTGCGCCCACAAACAAGCTTCACCCTGCCCTGCCGCCTCGCACCTCCTCTTCCTCTCTTCTTTCGTACAACCACAGGACACTATCACAGCAGGCACATGTGTATGCGCCTACACACACGTACACACTCAGAACCTGACTTCAAACAGCTGCAGACTACTTACACCTGACTGCCAGTGATACACCTCCCTGAGCTAATCCCTGAAAGAGGAAGAAAATAAAAATGAGCAAAAAAAAAATGAGTCCTGTATACTTCACTTGAAGTCGTTGTCTTTTTCTTTTCTTTTTTTTTTTTTAAGCCCAGGACTGGAGAGCTAGTACTGTGGGTAGGGCACTGGCCTTGCACACAGCCAACCTTTTTTTCTTCAAGAAAGCATCAAAAGGAAAAAAATATGAAGTCACCTTGTTATTAGGGCTGGGTCGGTTCCTGGGCCGAAAGATTTATCAGATTTCTAAGTAAAACGAAGTTAGAGCGAGTTTCTTAATGTCAGTACAGTTTTTCTTGGTGCGCAGCTTCAGGAAGATAACGATCGGGCCCGTCTTAGCATCAAGAAGCCCTCTTCTTGGAGCCCTGGCCTCTCGTGAGTGATGCTTCCAGTTCATGAACCAGGCTGGGATTTTTTTTTTTTATTTTAACAAGAATGAAAATGTCAAAGTGGGCGGCTCTGTCTTGCTTTCCTCCCTTTTTGTAAAGATTAATCATCCTGATGAGAAATGTTGTGACTTCAGACCCTGGGGCCAAATGTCATGTTTGTTTCCAGAAATTTGGGACTTGAGAATTGCAGGGTCTCTGGCCCTTGCAGGCAGATGTTGAATGTGTGTAGAACCCGGACACATTGGTCTGTCAAGAATGATAGCGACATGAATATACGACTTATTGGAGGATTTCCGGTCCTCCCTGCCCCCCCCCAACAAAATTACCCAGAGTAAGAGAAAAATTGTAACCTCTAAATTACATAGAAGAGAAATAGTCATTTTGGATTTCTTCAGGGCTTGGCATGTTGAAGGAGCTGGTTAATTGCTTCTGTTCATGTCACTAAGAAGTAGAAAAAATGTTGACCTCCACATCTGTTCTGACACCCTTCTTGCAGGTGTACTGAGATCAAGGTAAGATTGTGGTTCTAGGGGGCAGGTGAGAATAGGCCGGTCGCTTCCTCCTCAGATTCCTGTCTTTGAACTTGACCTTGAAATAGTTTCATGTCACTTTGTACAGACTAGGAAGCTGTAAAGAAGAAGAAGACTGTCAGTCAGCCCGTAGCACGGGTGGTCTTTGTCGGTTCTGGGTGTGATGCGTGAAGTGGGTTTCACAGTACCAGTCAACTACAGGAAGAGTGGATCCCACCAGGAGAAGGCGCTGCCTTTGACTCCTGTGGCCAGTCTGCTCTGGGTGATAGAGAACTCCAAGGGTGTCGATCCCAGGAAAATCGCGGACCACAGAGGGCTCAGGCACCCTTGCGGTCTCTTCTGTGCCTCTTTGCTGGACTCCGCGGGTCTCGGTTCACTGTGGGCACACACTTCCTGACACCGACTCTCAGCTCTCTCTCCAGTCTGATCTGGTCTGCGGGGCTCCTCCTGCCTCCTTCCTGCCCACTTTCTCTGCGCTGCTTCTACCAACAGCACCACAAAAACCGCCCTTCCTCTTGCTCCTCATCTTCAAAAGTAGAGTTGCACGCATTTCAATACAGCAGGAGTGCATGTGCCTTCTAGAAGCTCATTAAAATCGAGTGACTCCAGGCTGGAGAGATAGTACGGTGGGTAGGGCATTTGCCTTGAACACAGACTACCCAAATTTGATCCCCAGCACCCAGTGTAGTTCCCTGAGCCCCGGCAGGAGTGATCCTTGAACACAGACCTGGTAGTAAGCCCTGATATCTCTGGGTGAAGCCCCAAAACAAAAAAAAGCAAAGTTAAAATATAGACTGAATGACTGACTAGCCGTTTTCTTTGTCGTGCATAGATGTACCTACATTTTAAATTTTTCAAAAGTAGTTTTCCCCCCTAGAAAGAAATTTCTAGACGTAGAATTGTAGCTTGATAATTATAAATTATCGTGATAAATATTGCCAGGTTGCTTTACAAAAGCTGACCTTAGCATATTTTGGCCGTCACTACTGATTGTGATTTTTTTTTAATTTGATAGGTAGACGTACTCTTTCATGGCATTTTAATTTGTATAGCTTTCCCTGTTTGGCAGGCTAGAACTTTTCCATATGTTCACTGACTGCAGTCTGGAAGTGCTCATTTTAAAGGTACTTAGCGTTAAGGAAATGCAGTTTTGCACTTATATCTGCAAACCAACTCTACCACAAGTCATTAATCCTTTGAGTCTTTGAAAAAGGAAAACCAGAGCTTTACGGCTAATAAACTTTAGCATATAATTTCATTGTGGTAGCTGTAATTATATAATTCCTGTGTGTGAGTGTGAGAGTGTGTGTGTGTGTGTGTGTGTGTGTGTGTGTGTGTGTGTGTGTAAGCAGAAGGCTATTTTAACTTGTTCCAGTGTTTACACAATAAACCTCTAATTTGGAGTTTTCACATTTGCACTTTTTTTTTTTTTGGCTTTTTTGGGTCACACCTGACAATGCTCAGGGGTTACTCCTCCTGGTTCTGCACTAAGGAATTACTCCTGGCGGTGCTCAGGGACCACGTGGGATGCTGGGAACTGAACCTGGGTCAGCTGCGTGCAAGACAAACTCCCTTCCCGCTATACTATCACTTTTGTCCCACATTTGCACCTTTTCAACTTGTCATCCTGTCATCAAAAAGGTCTCTGATACTAGTTCAGCCTTCCGTGTTCTTGTTTTTGTGCGTTGAGTTTAGTTGGCTTCTATGTTACTTTCCCATCTAATATGGTTCCATCTTAAACTCCCTACTGGAATTTCAGTATTGAGGAATTTGGAGGTGTAGACACTTCTGGGTCTATGGTCTGGGCCAATGGCTGTAAGGGGTGGGTGTGGCTGCCAAGGTTTTGGTACAGGATGGGGGTGTGAGAGGGGAGGTGCCAATCTCCACTCCAAGAGGACCCCAGAGTTCTCAGCCTGGACATGGGGGTACCTGAAATGTTTCGCAGTTTGGCATCTCAGCAGAGACTATCAGTGAAACTATGAAGTTGGGCCATTGGCACAGCTGCAGTTTTGGGGTGGGGGTGGTACTGTTGGGGCTTCAAGGGGCGGGAGATTCAGCCGCCCTTTCTCAGCGCTTACTTTTTTTTTTTTTAATTTTCATTAGTGAAACACCATGAGGTACAGCTGTAGACTTACAAAGTTTTGTGCTTGGGTTTCAGTTATGCAATGATCGAGTTCCCTCCACCGGTGCCCATTCTCCACCACCAATGATCCCAGTATCCCTCCCACTCACCCCCGACCCCCCTCATCCCACCCCACCTCTGTGGCAGGGCATTCCCTTTTGTTCTTTCTCTCCTTTTGGGTGCTGTGGTTTGCAAAAGAGGCATTGAGTGGCAATCATGTTTGGTCTATAGTCTACTTTCAGCATGCATCTCCCATCCTGGACGGATCTTCCCAACACCCTTTATTTGGTGCTCCCTTCTCTATCTGAGCTCCCTTTTCCCCTAGAGTGTGTGCCTGGCCTCCAAGCCATGGAGTAAACCTCCCGGTATTTATCTTGGCTATTATTGGGTGTTAGTCTCCTATTTTGTTACTTTATGTTCCCCAGATGAATGCAATCTTTCTATCTCTGTCCCTCTCTTTCTGACTAATTTCTCTTAGCATGATACTTTCCATGTAGTACCACTTGTATGTAAATTTCATGACTTCATCTTTTCTAATAGCTGCATAGTACTCCATTGTGTAGCTGTACCAAAGTTTCTTTAACCAGTTATCTGTTCTCAGACACTCGGGTTTTTTCCAGATTTTGGCTATTGTGAACAGTGCAGCAATGAACATAGAAGTGCAGATGTTATTTCGACTGTACCTTTTTGCCTCTCCGGGATATATTCCCAGGAGTGGTATTGCTGGGTCAAATGGGAGCTCAATTTCTAATTTTTGGAAAATAGTCCATACTGTTTTCCAAAAGGGCTGAACTGGTTGGCATTCCCACCAGCAGTGAAGGAGAGTTCCTTTCTTGCCACATCCACACCAACACCGGTTGCTTTTCTTCTTTTGGATGTGGGCCAGTCTCTGTGATGTGAGATGATATCTCATTGTTTTTTTGATCTGCATCTCCCTGATGATTAATGATGTAGAGCATTTTCTCATGTGCCTTTTAGCCATTTGGATTTCTTCTTTGAGAAAGTTTCTTTTTATTTCATCAACCCATTTTTTGATGGGGTTGCATGTTTTCTTCTTGTGGAGTCCAGTGCTTTGTATATCCTTGATATCAACCCCTTATCAGATGGGTATTGGGTGAATATCCTTTCCCAGTCTGTAGATTATCTTTGTATTCTGGTCACTGTATCTTTTGAGGTGCAGAAGCTTCTTAATTTAAGATAGTCTTATTTGTTTATCTCTGTTTCCACTTGATTGGTCAGTGGAGTGTCGTCTTTGAAGATAATGTTAGCCTCAAGAGCGTGGAGGGTTTTGCCAAACTTGTCTTCAGTGTACCTTGTGGATTTTGGCCTAATGTTGGGGTCTTTTTTTTTTTTTTTTTTCCCTTTATTTTATTTTATTTTATTTTTTTTAAAGTTGTAGATTTACAATTTTTTGTGCTTTGGTTTCAATTATACAATGATCAGATACCCATCCCTCCACCAGTGCCCATTTTCCACCACCATGGATAATATCCCTCCCACCCC